AAAAACCCCCCCCCCCCCCTCCCTCCCACACTTAAATGATGATAAGCCAATTGCAGCAACCAAGTTGGCCTTGGATGGCAAAGTGTCGAAGGCTTATTGGATATACAAAGCAGAAAAGAATGAGGAAACGAGGCCAGAAAGAGATAAAACGTTCCGGTCCATTAAGTTATATACTCTTAACTCAACACTGTGACAGGATCTCGTCAGTATGACGGTCGCAGCTTTTAACGGAAAAGGAAGAGAAAGTAGAAAGAGATTGAGAAAGATGATAAATTAACACTTGCAAAGGAAAAAAAAAAAAACTAACTCCTGAACTGCTCCCTTTCAAAATAATGAAGTGTGTTTAGAGCGGGTTTTTTGGCGCCAGTGCTTTCTTTAGCCCGTAAGATCTGAAATACAAAAATCTGCTGTTGCTACTTACTACGGAGAAACAATCTTTGGAATTTTAGCGAAAATTAACATGCACCAAATAGTCCTACAGTCCAAGATCGAAGGGTTTGGCACACGCAGAATCTTCGCAAAAAATGTCACTGTCACAATAATTTAGGCAAAAAAAGCTACCTTTTGCTCATCGTTTTCTTCCAGTTCCTTTCTGCTCTCATAAAGCTGGCAGAGATAGCAGCATCGTTCGATGATGCTCGGCATTTGCATATATTTCATCCAGTTCCCATCCGTAATATGCGCTGGTAGCCTCTTTTCTGCACCGTACAAAAATTCCATTTCCAACAAAAGTCGCAAGAACATATCCTTGTTTTCCAGTTTTCTTATTAAGCGATGCGACGGCAAAACAGCGTACGGTATATGCAAATCAAGTCTGCTGCTTCCCTGCACATTAAAAAAAAAAAAACATTATGGAGGTTATCAAGAATTGTTAGCCAACTTCAATGGCTCTTCGATGAATAGTAACGAGGGGAATTTAACCATATCTTGGAGTAAATTCATCACAATGGACCAAATTTTCGCTCTAAACCATGTGAAGTGTCATGACAACCCCTTGTGTCACTTCCAACAATTTTCGTTTTCCACAGAAAGTAAAACATATTTTCCATGTCGATTTTATGTTTATATATATTTTATGTTTACAATTTTATGTGTACTTCATCGCAATAGGCACAGGCGGATCCAGAGCGGTCTCCTTGGGAGGGAGGAGGGGCGATTTTTCTCCCCCCTTCCCCTTCACCACAGCACCCCTCCCCCATTCCGGTCAGCCCGTTATCCATCGTTC